CATTACTTTTTAGTAGTGTGTGCTTTTGAGGACATTTAGTTTTTGTCATCTTGCCGCTTTTCATGTTGCATGAATGCGATGTCAATTACTAAACGTCCAACCCAACTAGCGACAAGTCCAATTAGGTTTAGTGGTTGTCGAGAAATGTGGACTCTGAATAAGGCCAACTGGCCGAGTTCTACAAAACCATGAAGTTTGATATGTTACACGACGGGATTTGGTTCTTGTTGAGAGTCGTTCATTTTCTCGAGGGCACCCCGTAACATTTATAGGGAACCACAACATGTCCGGAAGGGCTAGTGTGACCGTGGACTGCCAATAAGGCAAAATCATGAAGTTTGATGTGTCGCACGATGAGTTTTAATTCTTGTTGAGGATTGGCCACTTACTCAAGGGCACCAGCACATTTCCGGGATGGCCACTGTAACCGTGTTTTCTCAATAAAGCCACTACCAACGGTTAATAAGGCCATTACCACGGGTCACATTGGCTACCTCAGAAATGTACCGGTGACCTTGCACAGCAAAACATTAGTTTTAATATTACATCCGAGAGGATGCACTTCAAGCATGTCGAAAATCTCATGTAATTTTTATGGCCACAAAAAAAAAACAAATGCAGTAAAAGCAGCGTAATGCATTGTTTTGATGATAATTTTGTAATATTGGGCAAGCAATATTACACCATACACGATTGAAGTACATAAACTTTGATGCGATTTCAAACTTGATTTTTTGCTGTGCGGAAGTGGTCAATTCTCGACAAGAATGCAGATTCGTCGTGCGACACAGCAAACTTTATGATTTTGCAAAAACCGGCTGGTAATGGCCTTATTGACAGCACATGGTCAAACTAGCCCATATTGGTTCCCCCAGAAATGTTTCGGGCAATGTTCACAAAAACCAAAACCCGTCGTGCGACATATCGAACTCTCGGGTTTTGTAAAATCATGAAATTTGATATGTCGCACAACGGGTTTTGGTTTTTGTCGAGAATTGACCACCTCCTAGGGATACCGGAACATTTCCGGGGCCATCGGAACATTCCCGGGGAGACTAGTGTGACCGTGGACCTTCAATAAGGCCATTACCGGTCGAGTTTTGTAAAATCATGAAGTTTGATGCGTCCCACGACGAGTTTAAATTCTTGAGAATTGTCCACTTCTCAGAGGGCACTTGAACATTTCCGGGATGGCCAATATGATATGTCTCACAACGGGTTTTGGTTCTTGTCGAGAATTGGCCACTTCTCCGTGGGCAACGGAACATTTCTTCGGTTACCAGAATATGCCCAGGAAGGCTTGTGTGAGTGTGGACTCTCAATGAGGCCATTACTGGCCGAATTATTAAAAATCATTAAGTTTGATGTGTCGCACGACGAGTTTTAATTCCTGTTGAGAATTGGCCACATCTCCGAGCGCACCGGTACATTTCTGGGATGGCCAATGTGACCATATTCTCTTAATAAAGTCATTACCGGTCGATGTTTGAAAAACCATGAAAGTTGATGTCGCCTAACGGGGTTTGCTTCTTGTTGAGAATTGACCACTACCTCGGGGGAACCGGAACATGCCCGGGAGTGCTAGTGTGATCCTGGACTATCAATAAGTCCATTACCGGCTATGAAGTTTGATATGTCACACGACGGGTTTTGGTTCTTGTTGAGAATTGGCCACTTTCCCGGGAGAACCGAAACTTTTCCGGGATACTCAATGTGATCATGGACCATCGGTATAGCCACCATTGCATTGGTCTAATTACATCATTTAAGTGAGAAAATATTATGTTCACCGTGTGTATAATTATTATACAACAGGAAGCCGAATGCCGTTCGAGAATGACCCCAGTGGAAACCAAAATAACTCCAGAACCATGTATTGATCCAATATTTTCCTGATGAATTCAAAAACTTGAATAGATTTCCGACCAAATGCAACTTGTTTTGCAGAAATCGATTGAGAACCGATGTTTATAGAGCTAATTGAATTTTGAAACCTTTACAAAGTTAGACGTTAGACGCGTAAAGGTTAAGGGAAGTTCCGTGAGCATCCGGGTGGGTTCGAAAACTTCAATGCAGTTCCATTTACTTCAAGAAAATTGTGAGAACTCTTAGAAATTCTGAGAAGAGAACTTCAGGGATGTGAAAAGAATCTCTAGAAAGTCCAGAGAACTTCGAGGAAGTCCAGAGAAATTAACGGAACATTCCGAGAACGTCAAGAAAATTCCAGGATTTTCAGGGATATTCTATGAATATCTGGAAACTTGCAGGATCTCTATGGATTGTGCCGTTCATCTCATATCTCACTATAGAAATAACAGCCACATTTCTAGTTAAGATGCCTGTTGGAGATTCTTTTTGTTTTCCATCGATCTTGTTTTCCATGCTGAGCTATCGACGCCAAGGAGACAGCTCCCACACCTGGACCCTACCTATCGACCCATCAAATCATGAACCGGGGGCTTTACTTCCCTTGAATATAAGGCGTGATCATACCTCAGAACATCCCGGCGGCGCCGCCTGGAGATTCTTATCCTTGCTTAAATTAATACCACAGACAAACAGACATAACACATTGAATATTTTTAAATATAAAACATCGTCACTAAAACACTACCGCCATCTGTTGAGTATACTGTGATGAGTAGTACGCTGAACAGATGGCAGTAGTATGTTTATTGACTTTGTGCGCCACAGGTGGCGGTAGTACCAACTAAAAACATTTAAATTGACCGTTAAATGCGTGTTAGATAAAGAAATTGCCAGTTTTAAGTCTGTTTGTATGTGTTAATACTATTGCCTGTTATTCAGTTTTGTTATGATCGCATCCCAATTCTTATTTGTGAACGATGACAATGAAAAAGCATCGTGGGATAGAATAGTGACAAGGGGATTGGCTTATCAGGGTCTGGTTTAAATTCTCATTTTAAGTTTTATGGCATGCTAATTGCAGAAAAGCTTTATTCATACTCCAGTGTCAATTAAAGGGAACTAAATTGCGTGAAAATGCAGTTATTAATTGCTATATTACAATTATGGGCGCTCTTGAAAGGGGCGTATAGATTTGAGGTGGGAAGGGCGCACACATCTAACATCAGTGGGCAACTTGGTCTAAATTTAGCATGACAGTAATTAAGCTAATTAATTAAATAAACAGTTCCACAAAATTCAGTACTATTCCATAAATTGTCTGGACGAAGCGTTACATGTCTCACGATACTCCATGTCACGTATTATAGCCTATAACGACACACTAAAGTGGTGTTTACATCTGTGCGGATTTGCTAGCGCTAGTGTACTAGCACTGTTAAAAAAAAGTAGTCAGCATAATGAAAACAGGGCATCAGCGTCTACCAGCATGAGATTTCCAGAATAACCAGATCCACATTGATACTGAAATCTTGACTGCTCTTCCTGACTGCAGATTAGAGCATTTTGGTAGCACAATTCATTATGATCAATTATTATCTTCATCACCCAAGTAACAATGCTAGTTTTATCGTGGTTTTAAAGCATTCTAAAAGTCTAAATCATGGTCTATAGAACCCTCATAAAACCATAATTGTTACTTGGGCAACGTTCTATTTGGATGAACATGGCCATACAAACACATTTCGTGCTGTTTTTGAAACATAGATTGATAAAAGAAGGTATTATCAAGTGCCCATGACGTCTAACGAGGTCAATACACAATGCAATTTGGTTGTACGATGGTTTTACGATATACCGCACGATACAATCATACGTTGTATGGTAACACCTTAGTGGTTCTACAACCAGATTGCAGAGTATATTGGCCCCATATCACAACTAATCAATGTTTTTTTTTTTTTTTAATTTCTTGGTTTTGTGTGAAGCTGAAGTTACATTATCTTTGTGTATTTGTCTCTGGTTGACATAAAAATTAGCAACGATACGTCAAATTATTACACCAAAAACTAGCCAGGTTCTTTTTTGAGTCATCAAGGAAAAGGGATCATACTTGTGAAATAAACAGAAGCACTCCACAACAGATAGAATTTGTCAAGTGTAATTAATTTTTATGTTTAATATAATAATTCGAAATGTTCTGAAAAACTACATCACCAATTTTGGGTGTAGCATTTGGTTTAACAGTAAACATCGAAATCTTTGCCTTCATAAATAAATATCTTTTATCAAATGTTTAAGCACCTTTTTATTCTGTGCAGTAGCACTTTGAGATTCCATTTAGCAACCCCAAGAATTTTAACCACGTTAATAGTTCTGCACAGGCAAACAGACATAACACATTGAATATTTCTCTCTGTAAAACATCGTTACTAAAACCTACCGCCATCTTTAGTTGGCAGTAGTGTGTAAACATTAAAAACAAAGGAATTTACTAACGCGCCACTGGTGGCGATACTATCGACTAAGACAAATTTAAATTGACCGTTAAATGCGAGTTCGATGAACAACTTGCGAGTATTATATCTGTTTGTCTGTGGTTTTGGTATGTTCCCAGGCTCAGTGGAAAATTCCGCTCTCAACAAGTTACTATCTTATAACCAGGCGGCATTAATCTGTTTATGCTCGATGGCAAATTTGAACGCATTGTTGAATATTCCCATTTATAGCCATTCACCCTCTTCCGTGGGTAAAGCCACGACATTTAACTAACAAAAATCCACTTGTCCCACTCATATTTGATCTCTCAATCTCCTGCACGGACGATCGCAATCGCCGGCGTGGCATGGTGACACGGTTCATCATAATTGATTCCATCGCGCACCACCACCGACTCTGACTGGTTCGATTAGAATGGCAAGGTCGGCAGTATCTTTCACTCAATTCAAATCGTCGTCGTCGTCGGTGTCGAAGAGTCACCAAACAACCGCGGGGCGAGATGAAGATCTTAACTGCGTTGTGGAATGGTGAGGGGACGGTGGGACGGTGGAAGAACTTTTTTGTTTGTCTCTCCGAAACTTTGATCTATTCACAGCGAACTAAGTGTTTGTTTTTCTATTTGAATTTTTTTGCAGAGATAAAATCGAAACGTTCATCGATGAGAATAAGGCGTTAATGAAACGGATGTACGGGGATTTTGAAATGTCTTCCCGGTATCCGCCGTTGCAGCCGAACAGGAAGCGGAAACGTCACGTCCAAGGAATGGAAGATGATTTTACGATACTGCCGGATTTGATGGACTTGTATGGGGTGCCGGGGTCGTTGAATGAACCGGAACCAATTCTCAGCAGCGGAGATTCGTACTTCGGACGATTACGGGACAAGAGGCAGAGTACGGGTGGTCGTGCGAATGGTGGTAGTAGTGGTGCAGGAGGAGGAGGAGGAGGAGGAACAAGTAACGGGGGAAGCGGGAATGGAAGTGGTTCCCGGTCCAACGGTAGACCGAGTGCGTCGTCGGATAGCAGTGGAGAGAGTACGGGAAGGTAAGTTTTGATGGACATATTTTCAAAGAGCATAAGTTTAATAACAATCTCTTGAATTCCAGGGTGGACGCATGCGAATCCAAGATTGAAATCGTTACACCGTACTGGGCTTCCAACTCGGCGGGAAAAGTACGTGCCATTGTCAACACCCAACATTTTGAGCAGGCTATCCATCAGGAGGTTTGTTCGTAAGTATCCTTTTATTCAAAATTCTTCTCGAGTATTGTCTGAAAAAGCTTTGATCCTAAATCTACAGGAAAACTCAAACATCTCGCTGTTCCGGGGATTGTGGATGCGAGCAAAAGTACAAATGGCACCGGTTACTGGCCTACGATCCGGACAACGACTGCAAGGGTATCTTCATGGATTGGTTCCTGTTTCCTTCGTGTTGTGTCTGCCGGTGCAGTCCTTGAGTTCATTCTTACAGACCACCAAGCATGTGAGGCAGGGGTGAGAATGCTCTTAAGATTATAGTGCTGTAATGATCTAGTGATAGATGTAGGAAAATCGCGATACCTATACGAAAGAGATTCAATGTTTTATTTTAAATTTGTTTTAACTGCTTTATTTGTAAGAGTCGTTTTAGAAGCCAACTGCAATTTAAGGTTTGGTAGCTGCGCATTGATAGAACAAAAATTCGCGAACCGTAGCCAAATTGAATCAAACTTTTAATCGATGTGCTAGTAGTGAAATCGTTACCTACGTAGAGACAGCTTAAGATGTTGAAAGATTCGATGTAAAAATTAAGTTATTTCTTTGTAAATAATGTAGATTAAATTATTTCTACGAGCATCTTCTGACGATTGAAATTAAGTTCTATCACAATCCAGTCAATATTTGCTAACTCGTTTATCGGAACGAGCACCCAGCAGGCCTGGGTTCAATCCCAGTCGGCGCCGCCGGGATGTTCTGAGGCATAACATCTCTGATTACGCCTTCCTTCGGAAGGGAAGCAAAGCCGTTGGTCCCCGGTTCATGAGTAGATGGGTCGATAGGTGTAGGGTCCAGGTGTGGGTGTTGCCTCCCTGGTGTCGGTAACATTAGTGTTCAGCACGGAAAACAAATCAAGAAAAGATATAAAAAAATCGGAACGAATGGCAAACTTTTGATTCTTGGCGAACTGTTGAATCAATTTTGCACATACCATTTTGATGGTATGGAGATTGGAGAGTTCAATGCTACGCTATCGACGAACCTGAGCTTTCACCACGAAACGAAAGAAGTGCAATCTGACGGGAAAAATTAGAAGCAAAATGGCGAAAGCGATGCCAAACGCAAAGAGGTGAGCTTTTTATCTAATAAACGAGTGGTGAAGCAGCATGTGTGGCAAGTTTCTAGCTTACCAAGTAGGTAAAGCAGGGAAAAGCTTTTTGTTTCTTTTTAAAGTCAAATCGACGTTTGCAGTGAAAGAAGCTTTTAGCTGGATTTAAATGTTGAAGTGTAGTCGACGTACTCCAGCTAATGGTGATAGAAATTTATGATATGGAGTGAAATCAAAAGCTAAAAAAGGAGAAAGAGATATGATTTTCAATACTTGCTGATGTTTCATGGCCAGGAACATTTTTGAGAGCAATTAGAAGAAGCCAAAAAGACTAATAAATAAGGAAGTCGGAAGAAACTTCTGAAGGAAGCTTCCGATGAAATCAGATGAACATTTTTAGGAAAACTGAAATTAGATTTTTTGGAGAATTCGGATTTATCTTCTGGGACAAAAGATGATATCAACAAATTGTATTTTCTACCATTAAATGGCTAAAAACAGAACTAGTATGTACAAGTTCGGATTAATTTTTTAAATTTCTGAATTTCGCACAGATTTTTAAATTTTTACCGAACTGTTCTGCAGTTTAAAAACCCAGTAAAACCTTACTGGCTGAATTATTGTGTACTTTGCTAATTGTTTTGCAAAGTTTACAAAAAATTCAGATTAGTTACTGCCATGAATTCAACTTAATACTTTTCTGGCCCTTGAACTTAAATATTTCTCGATTCCCGGAAATTCCCGGGCAGAGTCATCAACTGTTTCCCGATTCGCGGGAAACCAAAACTGGTAAGGAAATGAAAACGCTAGTTTGAGTCAACGATGGCTACCCACACCTTACAACGGTGGAGTGGATAAGTGCTGAGATTTGTCATTGTCATTGACAGACTTTCCCGCGGTATTGACAAAATTGTTTATCACGTAGTCACTGATAAACTTGATCATCAAAAAACCTTTGCCAAAATCTCATTCATTTTTTCGTCAATGACAAAGATTCACCTGACAACAAAACGTTTAATTTCGTGCATTCTGTGTCACATTATTGTTATCCAAGCAGTTCAAGACAAAGATGCTTGTTCACTTGAATGGCTCCATGTATTTGTTTTGCTCAAGTAATTTTATTTCGTTACAAATTTAGTTAAAGAAAATGTGCACATATTCGTCACTGACAGGATTGTCACTGACAATTGACATGGTTTACCTCGACGATGACTGCTAGCTCAAATGAGTGACCAACAAAGCAGAATTTTGAATATCGCCGTGTACTGTCGAGATTTTGAAGCACTAGAGTGGATTGATCTAGGAAAAAAAAAGCTGTCACTGGTTCGGGATTACGGGGGAGAAAATCTAATTAACTACAGAGTCTTGAAAAGGACTTGTTGAAGGAATGACGCTGAGTAGATAAAAAGGAGATTGATGACGATTCTGAAAATTTCCTGCAAAAATATGATATGCGATGCAAGTAGATGCGAGAAATGAAAGAAGATTTTTCGAAGATTGATTCGCTAGTGTGAGATTTTTTGAGCATCTTAAATTGATTTTAGATGTGTCGGCCCCTCATTCTCTGGTTTGATGGTGTCCTGCCAATGGGTCATTTGAAAGAATGGCATTAGGTTGAATACTTGAGTAGAATTCAACTGTATAACTGCAGAATTGTGGAAAGTAAATGATCATTAAGTAGAGCATAGGGATCTAGAATTGACAAAATGATTTATTGTACTGTACTGGTGATTAATTATTCATAAATTTATTATGACCTTTTTTATGCGACTTGTTTGTTTTATTTCTGATAAAATTTCAGCCGCACCTGCAGAGCAAATCCACGCCAAACATCGAAGAAATAAACGAATTTCATATTTTATCTGTCATAATTTCATGAAATTTCTCAAAAATATTCGCAGGGGACAATGAATCAAGTTAGTGCAGAATCTCGGCCATATTTCAAAAATGGCTTTTTCTATATTTTTCAATAAATCATTGCACGAAAACGACAAATTTAATTAAAACTGAACTGGAATCTGGATTGCCTAAAATTTGAGCTAAATAGTCACACTCAATATTGACCTGCGGCCTTTAAATATAAATCTGCCTGAAATAGTGATGCTTCCGCCCCTTGAAGTCGTAATGACGTTGTTTCAAAAAGTGTATTATCTAGATGATATGATACGTTGCAAAACATTTGCACTTTATTGCTACTGCTCAATAAGTGGCACTGTACTCTACAGGTGGTGAAAGAGGCATTGCCACAAAATAAAAATAAAAATCAGAAGGACGTAAAATCGTTAGTTTCGTCAAAATTTTCCAAGCATCATTTTTAATTTTTTGCATAGTTAGGCCGGAACAAATCACAAGTTTTTTTTTGTCACCACCCACCCCCACCCTTCATTATTTTTTGGAATTTTGTTTGGACAGTTTGGAGTATCACAAAGGGGAAATAAAACAAAAAAAAAACTTTCAGTGTATATTTATTTTTCGAGTATCGCAATTTCATTTGGGTATGGATACTAGCTTTGCTAGATTTTATTATGTTGTAAAATATCACCTTGTTCTATAACAGAATTTTTACACAAATTGGTACTAGACCGGTACGGCAACGGCATGACAGGTCCTTGAAATCGGATCAGCCTGTTTCAGTTGTTGAAAACGGATTTTATCGAACTCATTCCTAATCCTGTTTGGCAACTCACTAGGTTCGCCTTCAAACTGATTGATCCCCCTTATTCGTTGCGAAAATCTTCGTGTTGTTCCAGTCGGGTCGTTATCTAGAACCATTTTCATTGGGTCGTTATCCGAACTTGTTACGATGTGCCCAGCCCAACGTAGTCGCCCGATTTTTGCATTCGATCTAAAAAAAATCAACTTGCAAACCTGCAGCAATGCCACTTAATGATTCAATGCTTTTCTACAGTGATTCGAGCTAAATCCAATCTTTTCATAATTGGTTTAATTTTTTTTAGAAGTGAGACCAAATCAGAAACAATTCAGGAAATTCCTCATTGAGGTGACATTTTACAAAGCAGATTCAAAACTGAGTCGAATAAGTCATCAACATTTTTCTAACTGAATCCAAACCTTTCTGTTTTGCTATTCAATTCATTTTAAAGTTGTTAAAGCTTTCCTGAAGTGATTCACCATATCCCGAACCTAAGCTTTAAAGAATTGGTTTCGCATTTTCTGGAGTGAGGCCACGTTAGCTGATTTAATCTCTTTCCTAAATGAATCCAAGGTTTCCTGCATTGATTCAACTTTTTCCGAACTGAATCCAAACTTTGACCAAACGGGTTTGACATTTGCCTAAGTGAGCTTCAAATTTTTGTTAACTGCTGTGGGATATGGTAAGGACACAATCTTGTTTAGGTAATCTACACACCTAAACATAACTATGTTTACACGAGACGTAATCCATCTTTGACGTAAATTATGGCACGTAAACAAACATGTCATGTAAAATTAAGTGTTCCCAAACCGAAACACACGCAACTCGACGAAAAGTACGATTGATTGAATTCATTTTCTCGTTTCTTTCAACCGATTCTTATGTCATTTGGGCCACTTGCATGTGTCGGTCTCAGGGCACCGAAATTTACATTACTTTTTGGTAGTGTGTAGCTTTCTTAAAAGTGTAAACATAATTCCGAAACCAAGGGAGTCCAAACTTTCTGTTGAGTTATTGAAATTATATTTAATGCTAGTCTGAGCTTTCCTGAAGTGATTTAACTAACTTTTAACATAGATTCTGCTCCCCTAGACCCCTTCCTCGCTCTTGAGAGATTCATATCCTTTGAAAATTAGGCTGAGATTTTAAAGAATGGACCTTCGTGTGTTTGTTTCTACCTGATGAAAGTTTTTTTTTATGAGCAAGCACAACTGGGTTTACATCCACAAAAGTACGTATTTTTATAGAAATTCGGGTTTATTGATTACTCAAGTTGGATTTTGGCTCCATCCTTTGAAAAACAGGCTTGGATTTTATAGAATAGACCTTTGTGAGTTCATACGTGATGGTAGATTTTTTTTGTAGCCAGGTTGGATTTCGGTTCGATCGTTTGAAATTTGTGCTTTAATTTTATAGAATGGAACTTGCTGAATCCGTACGTGAAGGACCAACCTGGTTAATATTCACAAAAGTAGGTATTTTCATAGATATTTGATTTTTATGTTTTGCCGAACTGAATTTTAAGTCCTTGCTTTGAAAAATAGGCTTGTATTTCATTGAATAGAACTTTGATTTTATGTTCTGCCAAGTTGAATTCCGGCTCTGATATTTGAAAATTAGACTTGAATTTTTTAGAATGGACCAGGATCCATACATCAGGTTATATTATTTTCTTTTGTTTTGTGAAAACCGAGTTTAAATTTACAAAAATACGTATTTTGATGGAAGTTCGGGTTTCCTGTTCAGCCAAGTTGGATTTTGTCTCCGTCCTTTGAAAAATAGGCTTAGATATTACAGACTGGACCTTGCTGAATCCATACGTGATGGTAGATTTCTTTAAGCATGCACAATTTTTTAGAAAACTGGGTTT